CCCCCCCCAGTATTTCCAGTACCCACCTGGCACCATACATAGTAATTACAATATTATTAACTATATTCCCTATGCTGTAACGTTCATCCCCATGACTGTTTTGTAATTACCAGTTAGAACTTTTCAATCCTATCACCTTTCACCCAGTCCCCCAAGTCTTCTCCCCTCTGGCAACCATCAGTCTGTTCTCTGTGTCTATGAGCCTGTTTTTGTTTTGTGTGTTCATTTATATTGCCCTTTAGATTTCACTTAACATAATACTCTCTAGGTCTACCCATGCTAATGAAATAGTAAGATTTCATTCTTTTTTATGACTAATATCCCATTGTGTAAATGTACCACAGCTTTTTTATCTACTTGTCTATTGATGGGCACTTGGGTTGCTTCTGTATCTTGGCTTTTGTAAATAATGCTGCAACAAATGAGCATAGGGGTGCATATATTCTTTTGAATTAGTGCTTTGGGTTTCTTCAGATATATGCCCAGAAGTAGAATTACTAGGTTATAAGAAAGTTCCATTTTTAATTTTTTGAGGACCCTCCATACTGTTTTTCATAGTAGCTGCACCAGTCTGCATTCCCACCACCAAGACGCAAGGGTTCCCCTTTCTTCACACCCTCGCCAGCACTTGTTGTTTGTTGATTTATTGATGGCAGCCATTCTGGCAGATGTGAGGTGATATCTCATTGTGGTTTTAATTTGCGTATCTCTGGTGATTGGTGACGTTGAGCATGTTTTCATGTCTATTGGTCATCTGTATGTCCTCTTTGGAGAAGTGTCTATTTAGGTCCTCTGCCCATTTTGTAATTGGATTGTTTGGTTTTGAGTGTTGAGCTGTCTGTGTTCTTTGTAAAATTTTGGATGTTAACCCCCTATGAGATATGTCATTGGCAAATATCTTCTCCCATTCAGTTCTTTGTTTTTAAATTGCTGATTCAGTTTTCTGCTTTATCTAACCTGTGGTTGATTCTTTCTAGTGTATTCTTCATTTTAGACATTATATTCTCGCCCTGGCCAGTTTGGTTTGGCTCACTGGATAGAGCGTTGGCTACGGACTGAAGGGTCCTGGGTTCGATTCCGGCCAAGGGCACATACTTCTGGTGCAGGCTCCAGCCCCAGTTGGGGCATGTGCCAGAGGCAACCGATTGATGTGTCTCTCTCAAATCGATGTTTCTTCCCCCGCCCCCCTCTCTGAAAAGCAATGGAAAAAATATCCTTGATGAAGATTTTAAAAAAAAAGATAATTATATTCTTTATTTCTGCCTCGTTCATTTTTATGATTTCTATTTCTTTTTTTTATGTTTGCTATCTCTTTAAAGTTCTTACTGAGTTCATCTACTCTTCCCCTAGGTTCTTTGAGCATCCTTATAACCATTGTTTTGAACTCTGCATCTGGTTGATTGGTTAGCTCCATTTCATTTTAGTTTTTTTCCCCTGGAGATTTCTCCTGTTATTTTATTGGGTCTTATTTCTTTGTCTCCCTTTTGGCTGGTCTTATTTGTGTCTGTTCAGTAAATCTGCTATGTCTTGCAGTTGGCATGGTGGCCTTACATAGTAGGTGTCTTGTGGGGCTCACTGGTGCAAGTAGCCCTGGTCACCTGAGCTCGGTGCTCCAGAAATGTCACTTTTATGGGTTATGTGAACCTTTCTCTTGTAGTTGAATCTTGATTGCTGTTTGCTGGTCCATGAGTGGGGTTGACCCTTGGGCTGGCTGACTATGAGGATCAACCCCAACCTTAGTGTGCAAGCTGCTGTGTAGGCGCTGACCCCACAAAGCAGTATTTGCCCCAGCAGAGTTTCTTGTTTTCCAAAATCTCCCCTTGGTTTTGCTGCTTGGTTCCTGCTCTGATGCGGTCTGAATCACGACACTGGATATGTTGGTTCTAGAACCTCTTGGGAGGGAGCGGTGCAATTCGATGTCATGCCCTGCCTGTGACCAGCCTGGGCTGCTCCTTTGGAACTACAAATCAATCCCCTGTTTGTGGTTCTTCTGCTAGGCCTGAGTGTGCATGGGTGAGGCCAAGCTGATCACCAGCACAGAACCTGGAGGCAAGTCAGCAAAACACCCAAAGCACCCAAGATCTGCCTCTGCCTTCAGCCTACCTATTAGGCTCAGTCACTGAAAAAGCCTCTGATAGTATGCGAGTTGCAAGAGGTGGGTTCTCAGGGAGTCAGCAGGAAGGGTGAATGGTGTTCACCAGACTGATAGAGATTGAAAATCAGCACCAGTGCTGGGGCCAGCCTATCCAAAAAAGTCTCAGAATACACCAAGGCTAGTCACCACCTGCGGAACTTTTTGGTGGAAGTCATCAGGCCCACACAGATCAAGCTTTGACTGTATGCAGGGTAGACACTGCATGGGGTAGGTAGCACTGGTCAGACATGTGAGGGAAAAATAGCTTTCACCCTTGAGCCACACAATGTATTCTGTCTCTGAGTCTCTTCAGATCTTCTGGAGAGTCTTCCAAGAGATTCTACACTGAAGGCCCAGGCTGGCCAAGCCAGCTGACTCCTCTGCAGGCATGAGCTCTGTAGGGCAGGGGACAGGGAGTCAGGAGGGTGGGGCTAGTGCATTCCCCCAGGCTGATGCAGTATGGAGGGGAGTGCTCAACACATGAAAGATGGTGTATGTGAGCTGTGTGGGAGAGGGATTCAGTACAGGGACCCTAGCGGTTGTTCCTTTAGCTCCCCTGGAGCCACACAACCCAGTCTGTCCTCGCAGGACTCCAATTCACTCTGATCTGGCCTCCCTCTGCTGGAGCCCAGGGTGAGTGGCCATGAGTGAGATTTTGTGCACTGGCCCTTGAGAGAAACCTTGGGTTTCTAATGGACTGCTTTCCCTGGCAGACAGAATCCCCACTGATTTTCACAGCCAGATTTTATGTAGGCTCCTCTTGCTGGCTCTGGTGCTCTGGACAGGGGAGCCCAGCATGGGGTTGAGACACACTCTTCAAAGGGAACCTTTGCAGCTGAGATATTCCTCCAATTCTCAACAGCTGCACATAGGTGCGGGCTGGCCCTTTTTGCATCTCTGCCCTTCCTATGAGTCTCAGTGTGGCTTCTGTAAATCCTTGGTTATAAGACTTCTCTTCAGCTAATCTTCAGCCAGTTATTCAGTTTGATTGTTCTATAATTTAATTGTAATACCAGTTTGGACCAGGGAAGATGTGAGAGTATTTTCTTGGTCCCCCAAGAAAATAATTCTCTGCCTAAAAGGCTGGTTTGGGGAGCTCTTTCAGTGCTTGCAAGCCTAGAGTCAGCACTCCAGCTCTCCATGACCAACACACCAGTTACATGTGAGAGGGTGTTCCAGCCTCATCAGTCAGTCCCATTGGCATTTCCCTCTGATAGATACCAATCAGCATAAGGCCTCTGCCTGGAGTTGCCTGTACTATCAGAGTACAGAGATCCTGTAGCTTTTCCCTGGTGAAAAAGCTTTGTCACAGAGCTGATGTGCTTTCTGAGAAAGCACAGTGCCGTGGGTTTTTCGTTGCCCTCCTTTTATGTAATGGTACTTTATGGTGGTTTATTACTCTAGTACCCGGGAAGAAAAAGATACTAACCTGGAAGCTTGCTTGTGTTATAAACTCATCCTTGAACTTAACGTTGATATTTAATCAGTTTGGTGTTCATATAACGTCAGAAGAACAAATGCACCGGCATCCACCCCAGATAATGGGTTTGGGAGAGGCCAGCCTGACTGCCGATGGATTAAGCATTAACTATGGGGAGCCTTCACACCTGTCTGTCTGGCCTCTTGGTGTGATGCTGTGTCCTTGCCCGTAGCTATCGAAGCCATGAAGAATGCCCACCGAGAGGAGATGGAGCGCGAGCTGGAAAAGAGCCAGCGGTCCCAGATCAGTAGCATCAACTCGGACATCGAGGCCCTGCGGCGGCAGTATCTGTAAGTCAGCTTCCTGCCCTTGGGAGGGTCTGGAGCATAGATGGCCCTTCAGGTGGGAAGCGGTGCCTTTCCTGTGTTTCTGTAGGAGCTGCATAGATACTGGTACTGAGGGCGGCATTGGTGGAGGCCCCTGGGCACTAAGGAAAGCTCAGAGCATTGTTTCCAGAGGGGCTGAGTGCCATCGAGGGTCAGCAAGCCACTGGCTCCTTTGGCCCCAGTGGGCTTCCTGTTACTGAGAAAACAAGAGTAGAACCCAACCACTAGGACCTGAAGACCGAGGTGTGGGAGGGGCGTGTTCAGCCAACCGCTGCAGCGACGTCTGCCCTCAGGCCACCCGGGTTGGTTCTCTCCATCAGCTGGTCTGCCTCTGCAGCTTGCGAGGAAGACGTCTGGTCTAGGGCGTGGCTCCTGATGCTTCGTGACTGCATGGTGGAGGTGGCCACATTCCTGACACTTTAAAAAAGCATGTGTGCCGATTCCCTTTGCATAAGCCCGAGAGAGTAGGGCATATGGCAGCGTAACTACTCAGATTTTTTCCCTCTGTAGAGCTAACACCACTTGGAGCCCTTGAATTGATCACTGCGAGAGCCCTGCTGAGCTCGCCTTTACCAGGGTCTTTGCGATGTGAAAGAATTGGGGCCCCTGCCTCTTTCGGGGCTCCTGTTCAGGGAAGTCAGAGCTAGGGCTGAGTGGATGGAATCCTGTGGACTGCAGTCACAGTCTTCTCAGCTTTAGGGGTGCGGGTCCACAGGGCCTGGACAGCTTGCCCAGAGGCTCCTCGTCCTTGGCGCCACCAGTGGGAGATGGAGCTCTTCTCAAGGAGTCCAGGGGACAGAGAATAATGGTGAAAGGCTTGGATTTTCATGGGTGAATGAGCAGCACTGGGTGATCAGGCACGGACTGCCTCAGAAGTTAGTGCTCAAAACATTGCAGACCTGACTTCTCTCGGGAACAGGGCATTTGCTTTGGTACAAGAAATGAATTCTCTCCTACCTTCCCAAGAGAAGCTTTGTCTGTGGGACTGTTAAGCTGTTTGAAAGAGGACCAGAGAAGGACACAGAATAGATTTCTATAAACCTGAAGTACTTTTTAAGTTTTCTCTTACTGAGCTGGGTACAAACTTTTTGAGACGACAAAATGTGTAGTGCCTGCTCTCTGTTGCCAGCAGTGTTTTCTGTTGTCTCATCGCCCCTCAAGCCTCACAGTGGGGACACATAACCTTTTAGAGGCCTGGCCCTGGGTGGAGGGCAGAGGAGTGAGCGGTGCCCTCTCCTCAGGGAGGAGCTGCAGTCAGTGCAGCGGGAACTGGAGGTACTCTCGGAGCAGTACTCACAGAAGTGCCTGGAGAATGCCCACCTGGCCCAGGCGCTGGAGGCCGAACGGCAGGCCCTACGGCAGTGCCAGCGTGAAAACCAGGAGCTCAATGCCCATAATCAGGTGAGCCCACAGCCAGGTGAGTCTCCATGCTCGAGCTGGGAGCCACGCCTCCACTTCAGAGTGGCTCTGCCTCTCTGCAGACACCTCTCTGAGGTCTGACATCTCCCAGTGTGTTGACAGAAACTCACTGCAGATGGTGGAGCTGTGGTCGTCCTGCCACATGAACCAGCTGTTTATATTTGGACTCTGAGATGTCTCAGTTTCTCTTCCTGAGTGCCTCTGAATTTCTTCTTTGTCATTGCTGGGCAGGGCCTGGGAGGGTCATTGCACCCTGTCCGGGTCTCCCATCCCCAAGGCTAGGACCATGTTTAAATGTCTTCCAGTCAAGACCATACACTGCTCACATTTTTTTTTTTTTTTTACAGTATTGTCAAAATTTGCCTGCTTCTCAGAAAATTTGGGTGCATTTAAAATCCTAACTAATGGACAGGGTTAAGGTGGTTTTAGTGTGACAAAAGCTCTGGGAGTACCAAATTGGACCACAGTCCTCATGACGCCCCACTCATCTCCCCAGGCACTGAGCAGACATGTGTTGGCCTGGTTCAGGCTCAAGTCCTGCACAGGCCCATGGCTGCCCCATTTGGGGGCACTCTGGCAGGACTGGCTCTGCTCAGTCACTTCAATGTCTGTCCTAAGATGACCATTTGTCAGTTGGAAAGAACGTACAGAAGGTGAGCAGGAGGGCCGAATCCTGTAGAAACTCAAGTAAGACAAACCATGAAACAGATCCACACTACTTAGATTGATAAAAAGGTATTAAGGATAATGGGATCCGGCATTCACAGTTCTGCAAAATACTTAGAGCCCACGTTGATGACTTTTACAGGGTGTAAACTGCCGGCTGTTAATACCTCCACATGATAAATCTAAAATGTGGTCAGTCGCGTGCACAAACACTGCTCATGGCTGCCTAATGTCTTGAGAAAACAACCTCTCTCGGTTGTATTGTGTGATTGTAGCCCCCAAGAATCTCTGTTGAGTGTCCCTGTTTTATTGTTGCTGTCCCTCAGGAGCTGAACAACCGCCTGGCTGCGGAGATCACACGGTTACGGACACTGCTGACTGGGGATGCTGGTGGGGAGGCTGCTGGCTCGCCTCTCACGCAGGGCAAGGATGCCTATGAATTAGAGGTACTGCTCAGAGCCATACCCCTCTTTACCCAGCTCTGCACTGCATAAGCCCCAAGTGGGGACGACTAAGGAGTGGCCCATAGCTCATAGAATCATTCCAGGGATGAGACCTGGAGGCAGCAAGAGGGAAAATACATGGAAAAAATCCACATCACCCCAGGACAGGAAAAGAAAACAGTTAGCTTTTCAGGTAGCATGGGAACCATGGCAGAAGAGGGGACCCCTCGAAAGACTGTTAACCCCATCCTCACTCAACTACCCTCCTTCCCTCTGTCTCTGCCAAACCACAAACAGTGACCACCTAAAATGAAACATTTAATAACTATGTGGATACTGTAGCTGCTTGAAATTCTGTAACACTGTTATTCAGGATCAGGTAGATTCCTCTTAAGGTAAAATGATTGATTTTTATATGTAAGACATCCTTTTATGAAAGCACTTAAGAGTCCTTCCCATTCAATTAAAGTTTCATCATGTAAACATCTACTAAAGGGTATGGAAGAGGCAGAGGGCATGCAACAAAAGTTTCAACAGGATCACCTCCTGGACCCCTGCATGGCTCAGTCCTAGGAAATCGCAGTGGCGCCTGGGCTGCGGAGGAGGGTGCTCGCGGGGCTAGGAGGGATTGCAGCAGTTCTCTCCTCTTTCTGTAGGCAATGTTTAAGCTGCTAGCAGTGTTTAACGTTATTTGCTGGTATTTTCAGTTGCATATTGGTGAGAATGAGAAGAAAAGTGCCTGCTCCTCAGTGTGTGGAGGAGAGTTCTCTGCTCAACTTTCAGTCTTTGCTTTCAAGACTCTGAAAGTCATTTTGCTCCTGAATGTCAGTCCCCAATTGCTCTCTCATTCTAGGTTTTATTGCGAGTCAAGGAATCGGAAATACAGTACCTGAAACAGGAGATCAGCTCTCTCAAGGATGAGCTACAGACAGCATTGCGGGTACGGCATCACCACAGGGATGGATCCGCAGAATGGGCTTAGGGCGGGGTGGGGACACGTGTCTCCAGAACTCACAGAGGTCCCTGTGCTCATCAAGTGTCTTAGGCTGTTCTAGAGTAGATTCTATTTTTATGAGGAATGTGGTTTCAAAATCCAGCTCTCCTAAAAAGCAGCCTTGTGCAGGTACAGTGAAAACTAGGAGCCCCTGGTCCCACCGTGTCCTTGTTCTCCCCCCTCCTTTGTACTTTGGTGGGATGGTGCAACCCAAGAGAAATGTCATCCTGGAAAGTGAAAGTTTGGTCAGCTACCAGTGACCTCCAGGACATTCTTGGAATCAGAGAGGAGGTGCCAGGACCCTTTAGGAAATCTGAGACAGAGAGTGGGTTTTCCAGGAAGGAGTCCTAGGGAGGTCCTTGGGGGTTAGGGCTGCACCAGCCTGCACTGACAGGAGCCCCCAGGGATCCTAGACTGTGTTCAGAGAGAATCTCAGCTCTGCCTGTTTTAGTTTGTGTCCAGTTTCTGCCTTTGGAAACTGCCGGTCAGTCCCCAGAAGTGACAGACTAGCCTGGTTGTAACCACCATCTGCTCTGTCCTTTTATCCTCAAGGACAAGAAGTACGCTAGTGACAAGTACAAAGATATCTACACGGAGCTCAGCATCGTGAGGGCAAAGGCCGACTGTGATATCAGCAGGTTGAGAGAGCAGCTGAAAACAGCCACGGAAGCACTGGGAGAAAAATCCCCCGAGAACACCCCCGTGGCAGGATATGGTGAGTTCTTCATGCTCTGGGTTGTGACTCAGTAACTTGGGGGATTTGTTCATAGAGTTACTGGGACTTGAGTCAAAGCAGAAAATTGACTTTTATGTTTCTGATTTTAGACTTACATTTCCTTGCAGAGAACAGCCAGAGGGGTTCTGGTCCATGGGGCTGGCCAGTGCCCTGGGTGGGAAACTGTTTTCCTGTAGGTGCACTGGTGGTAGACACTGTGCTGATTGCTTTGAGGGGAAGTCACACAGCGTATATTTTTATAGTAATGACAGGTTGTGTTTTTCCATTTTCCAAAGGAACTCAACAGTTTGGTGGAAGAGGCTAGTTGCTTAATACTGGGGTTTTACCATACAGTCTGCAGAAAGCCATGGGAGGAAGAGCCAGAGGAGGGCACTTCCTACTGAAAAGATGTCCTAGTTCACTAATATCCAAGAAATTTAATTTTTCCCTTCAGCTACCAAGGATTAGTGATAGTGGCAGTACTGATGGATGGGTAGAGAGAAAGTCATTTGCATTGCTGCTGAGAGGATAAGGTAGTCTTTCTGGAAGGCAGTAAGGTAATATGAGGCAAAATTTAAAATCAAACTGTAGGTTAACTCTGGGTGAGTAAAGAAATGATAACAGTGCCTACTTCTGAGGGGATCCCCAGGTAGCCAGGAGACAGTGAGAGAAGATGACTTAGAATTAGGGGAAGAATGTGTACATGCTGTGACCTGCCAGTTTAACTTCTGAAAAAAACGAGTTTATAGGAATGTGCTGGCAAGGATATTTAGGACTGGATAAAGGAGAAAAAAAAACTGATTCCACCTGAACAATCCTTTTATTTTCATCAAACAGAGGATTGTTTCAAGAGAGATCAGGTAGAGGAGCTTCTGGTCAAGATGGCATTGTAGGTAATTGTGGTACTCCCCTCCCCACAACCACATCAAATTATAGCTAAACTACAGAACAACCATCAATCAGAACTGCCTGAAATTGAGCTGAATAGAAGTCCTGTAAATAAAGATATAAAGAAGCCACATTGAGACTGGTAGGAGGGGTGGAGATGCAGAACGTGCTGGTCCCACACCCATGTGTTGCGGTTAAATATCAGAAGGGATATCTCAGCTGTGGAGGTCCTCCTTGAGGAGCGAGGAGCCCTAGCCCCACACCAGGTCCCCCAACCCAGGGCCCTAGTGCTGGAAAGAGAAGTCCCCATAACTTCTCTGTGGAAACCAGTGAGGATTGTGGCTGAGTGACACAGAGGCTGCTGGAGTCCCAGGTGTTCCTCTTAAAAGGCTGGAACAGACTACTCAGACTCACTCCCTCTGAGCTCCGGCGCAGGGGCAGCAGCTTGAAAGGCGCCAGGGACATATGGGGAGGAACGGAACTGTTGGCATCAAGACAAGAACTGAAGGGGTAGCTTTCTCCCAGACAGAATTGCTGGCAGAGGCCATTGTTCCTTTGCTCAGCCCTCTCCGCACAGAGCCGGCAGGTGGGCGAAATATGAGTCTCATCAACCTGGCTGTTCCCCCTACTCTGGTGATTCCCTGAGACTCCACCTCACCCAATTTTTTGGTCGACCTTAGCTGTTTTTAGTGGCTTTTCCATAGAAACGGCCTGTGTTGCTACTGACCTTACTAAAATCTCTCAAAGGTTCACAAACCCCAAACAGCACATCTGGGCTCAGCATGCCCTGTACTTCTTCCTAAGTGGCCCCAAGCCCGGCACTGGCAGTGGCTGGCCTGACTTCACAGCTTGGTCTCTCCTGGGCACTTCCAAGCCCAGCACAAGTAGCAGCTTTCTGCAGATTGCTCTATATCTCATGCTGGGCAGGGCACAGTTGACACTTGATCTTGGCCTGCATGTCCCGGGAGGCCCCAGAACCAGCACAGGTGGTGGTCATCTTCAGACCACCCTGGAGTACCACCCAACCACCGCCATGAGCAACACACTCAAGGGGAGACCTCATTAGGCACCAGAGCCCTGCTGGAGTGAGTCCTACTCTGTGGGGTTGGCCCCTGCACAGCAACTCCTTTGCTGTAGTCACAGCCAGTCTTCACAGCCCATCAGCTTGGGGGCAAATCCCTCCCATTGACGTGCCAACATCAGTCAAGGCTCAACTACAACAGGAGCGTGCACGCAGCCCACACAGGGCACATCTGGACTGCCCAGCTTGGGTGACTGGGAAGGCTGTGCCTCTGGGCCTTACAGGACACCTACCACATAAGGCCACTCTACCAACTTGGAGATGTAGCAGCTCTGCCTAATGCACAGAAACAAACACAGGGAGACAGCTCAAATGAGGAGACAAAGAAGCACATCACAAATGAAAGGACAGAACAAAAACTGAAAAAGAATTTAATAAAATGGAGACAAGCAATCTACCAGATGCAGAATTCAAAACACTGGTTATAGAGATGCTCAGTGAATTTAGGGGAAGAGTAGATGAACTTAGAATTTCAACAAAGAGATAGGAAACATAAAGATGGAGATAGAATTCATAAGAAAGAACCAGTCAGAAATGAAGGCTACACTAACTGAAATGAAGTATACATTACAGGGAATCAGCAGTGGAGTAGATGAAGCTGAGGATCAGGTCAGCGATTTGGAAGATAAGAAAGCAAAAAATACCCAATTGGAACAGCAAAAATAAAAAGGAATCCAAAAATATAAGAATAGTGTAAGGAGCCTCTGGGACAACTTCCAGCATACCTACACCGTATCATGGAGTCGCCAGAAGGAGAAGAGAGCAAGGAATTGAAAAGCTATTTGAAAAAATAACAACAGACTTCCCTAACCTGGTGAAAGAAATAGACTTACAAGTCCAGGAAGTACAGAGGGTCCCAAACAAGAGGAACCCAAAGAGGCCCACAGCAAGACACATCATAATTAAAATGCCAAAGGTTAAAGACAAAGAATCGTAAAAGCAGCGAGAGAAAAGCATTTAGTTACCTACAGGGGAGCTCCCATAAGACTGTCAGCTGACTTCTCAAGAGAAACCTTGCAGGCCAGAAGGGAGTGGCAAGAAATATTCAAAGTGATGAAAAACATGGAACTACAACCAAGGTGACTCTACCCAGCAAAGCTATCATTTGGAGTCAAGGGTCAGATAAAGAGCTTCCCAAACAAAGAAAACCGAAAGGAGTTCCTCACCAACAAGCCAGTGTTAGAAGAAATGTTACAGGGTCTTCTCTAAGAAGAGGAAAAAGGATAAAAATCTGTCAACAATTACTTTAGATGCAAATTGATTAAATGCTGCAATCAAAAGAAATACGGTGGCTGAAGGATAACAAAACAAGACCCCTACAGATCCTGTCTACAAGAGACTCACGTCAGATCAAAAGACACACGCAAACTGAAAGTAAAGGGACGGGAAAGATACTTCATGTAAATGGAGGGGGGGGAAGCTGTGGTAGCAATACTTATACTAGACCAAATAGACTTTAAAACAAAGGCTGTAACGAGACAAAGGACCCAACAGTTCCACTTCTGGGTATTTATGTGAAGAAACCCAAAGCACTGACTCAAAAGGCATGCGTCCGTATGTCTGTTGCAGCATTATTTGCAATAGCCAAGATACGGAAGCAACCTCAGTGCCCATCAGTAGACAAATGGATAAAGAAGAAGTGGTGCATGTGTGCAATGGAATATGACTCAGCCATGAAAAAGAATGAAATCTTGCCTTGGCTGGTGTGGCTCAGTGGTTAGAGCTTCAGCCCACCCATCAAAGGGTCGTGGATTCAATTTCCAGTCAAGGGCACATACCTGGGCTAGAGTGGGAGGCAACCAGTCATTGTGTCTCACATGAATGTTTCTCTCTCTCTCTCCCCCCCCTTCTCTCCTCTCTCCTCTCTTCCCCCCTCCCTTTCTCCCCCTCTCCCCTTCTCCCTCACTTCTACTGTCTGTGAAAGCAATGGAAAAAATATCCTTGGGTGAGGAGTAACAAAAATAAAAAAGAATGAAGTTTTGCCATCCCAACAACGTGGATGGACCTGGAGGGTATTGTGCTGAATGAAATAAGACAGAGAAAGACAAATGTCATACGATTTCACTTATGTGTGGAATCTAAAAAACAAAATAAGCCTAACGGAAACAGACTCATAGATACAGAGAACATTTTGATGGTTGCCAGTTGGGAGGGGCTTTGGGGGGATGGATGAAAAGGGAAAGGGATTTAGAAGTACAGATTGGTAGTTATAGGATAGTCACAAGGATGTAACGTACAGCACAGAGAATAGTCATTAATATTGTAATAAGTATGTCTGCTGACAGATGAGTACTAGATTTATTGAGGTGATCACTTCATAAACTATATAAATGTCTACTGGGTTGTATACCTGAAACTAATATAATACTGTACATCAACTGTAATTGAAAAATAATTATTTTTTTTAAAAGATCAGGTAGATTTTTTTGTTTTGACATGGACAGAGATCAGTAAATAAATTGAGTTAAAAAAGAATCCACACACACAGGACATATGGTATGACCCATTGCATATTTGTTTAGGTAGCCGTTTGTTTATTGATTGATTGATTGATATTTTTTAAAGAAAATGAAAGGGAGGGAAGGATGGGGAGAGAGAGGAAAGAAAGAAAGAGAGAGAGAGAGAAAAAGAAAAGAGAAAAAAAGAGAGAGAGAGAGAGAGAAAGAAAGAAGAAAAGAAAGAGAGAGAGAGAGGAGGGAGGGAGGGAGGGAAAAGGGAAATATTGATGTGAGAGAGTCACATTGATTGGTTGCTTCCTATACACGCCACTGGAGCCAACAGTTGAACCTGGGCACAACCCAGGTATGTGCCCTTGACCAGGAATTGAACCCGATACCCTTCTGTGTGCATGCTGACACTAACCACTGAGCCGCACCAGCCAGAGTTTAAGCCGTCATTTTCAAGAAGTCTAAAGGACTATACAGAAAACTGTTAATGGTTGTTGTCTAGGTGGGGTAGATTATGAGAGAGACTTGTTCCTGGCTTCTCAGAAGAAAGGTGGGATAAATGAATAATGGGGACAGTTGGTCTGCTCAGCAGATCATGTGCGGCTCCAGAGTGAGGTGTGCCCGGCCCCCCACAGAGCATGGCTTCACCTACAGTCAGACCGGTGCTGAGAGCCTAGTGAGTGCCCCACATAAAAATGTCCTTCAGTTGTTCTGAAAAAGATCTAGTGTGTTTTATGATTATTGACTTTGAATTCCCTTAAAGTTGTTTGAGGAAATGTCCTGTTTGTGGCAATAACAATCAGCTTGGGAAAATTTTAAAGCTTCAGTCTGGTTCCAGAGGGCTTTAGAAAACAGTAATGGATCTACTTGTTCCTTCAGATATCATGAAATCTAAAAGCAACCCCGACTTCTTGAAAAAGGACAGATCCTCTATCAGTCGGCAACTCAGAAACATCAGGTCCAAGGTGAGTCTGGGGTCCAGCCCCAGGTGTGTGGGGCTTGCAGATGTTGGGAAGAGGAGCGTGAGTCAGAGCCCACTACAGGCAGCAGCAGAGGGTCCCCAGGGTCCCAGAACTCACCTGGCCCCACACACTTACCCTGCTGGGCCAGTGCTGGCGGCTTCAAGCTCTGTGCCTGCTCTTTGCAGCAGTGGAGCCAATTTCTACAGTGACAGTGGAGGGCCAGTCCCGGGAGATGGACTCGGGGTGAATTCTGCCTCAGACCTGCAGGCCAAAGTTCCCCTCAGTCCCCTCTGGGTCAGCCTCATGCCGTCTGTATTGTTCCTGCACACCCCTAGTTTAACACTGACGCTGCCTGCCTCTGAGAGAGGAAACTGCTTGTACCCCCCCTCGGCCTCATCATAGCAGATCCCCAGCATTCGTTCCTTGCCCCCTGTGCGCCTCCAAAGGAAGGACAGGCGGAGGGTGGGGAGTGATGAGCATGTGGCATTTAGGATTTATTGTGTGTGTCTTATTTTTTGCTCTTTCCTCTGACAGTCCGTAATTGAGCAGGTCTCATGGGATAACTGAAACGAGCCCGCTTCCAGGTCCCTTGTCATGTAGGTAAACCACCTCTCACCATCCACCCACCTGCCACCCTCCAGAGGGTGCTACCTGCATGCACTGCTCACACCTCCTTTATTTAATTCATGCTGCTCCCACAAGCACAGACACAACCCAAGTGAAGGTCCCCTGACCTGTTCTGGGGAGCTAACTGGCACTATGTCCTCGTAAGAGAGTGACCCCTGGCAGAGGGGTGCTCCCCTCCCAGCTTGGCGAGCCGGCCCACAGAGCCAGCCTCCTGGGTGGGCTCGGGCCCAGTCAGCATGCATGTCAAACACTCTGTGCGCTCCATGTTCTCTGGGGAAACCCTCCTTGCCCTCTGTTGAGCCAGACTTGACACCCAGAAGCCACTGACAAGCAGAGCCTCCTATCACTGCAGAGCCGTATTTACAGGCTGAGGCAGCTGAGCTGAAGTGTTCCAGGAGCTGATCCAGCTCAGTAGAGCACGATGACCACACATGATGGGTGCTTTACTAGTACTTTTTTTTAACAAAGCAAAAGCTTTTTACTGGGTGCCATTAAATGTAGTGCTATACAGAAAGGAGGTGGGGAGACTGAGTGCTGGCTGAGACACACCACAGGCCGGCCAGGATGGTTCACCGTCCCTCACTGTGGAGTATGCTCACTGGCTTAGCAGGTGTGACGCCTTTAACTCCCAGGTGAGGAGGGCAAGGGCAGCAGGAAGAACTGGTGCTGGGCCCGTTCCTGTGCTGGGTGCACACTGATGCAGCCTCAGGGCCACACAGCTCTGGCTCCCTCTCACATTTCTAAGCTCAGCCTCCGTCGGAACCCAAGGCTCATCCTCCTCTGGCTCAGAGGCTCCCATGAGGCTGGTGTGGGGCAGGTCTGCTCTGCGAGGGGCCTCGGAAAGCCAAGGTTTATTCTGCTGCGGGCGTGAGGGCGTGAGCGGCTTGGGACCAAAGGCAGTGCAGCCTAATCGAAACCTCATTTCGCCATTTTTCTTTTAACATGAGAAACATCGTTTAGCAAAAGGAAAACTTGTTCATTGGTTTATGGTTTTCTTACTGAAGATTCTACTCATTTGAGGCTTAACTGTGGCTGCTGTAGAGTTCCCCCGTGCCTGTAAATAACGAGTGACAGAAAGCTTCTGCTAGGACCTTCCAGGGAGGCCTTGCTGCAGTGTGCCCACCCTGTCGGGAGAGATGAGGGGATCCCAGGGGCTCTAAACAAAGGCCAGGAAATTCTGACCAGATCTCTGTCAATAAGCCTTTGCAGCAGGCACGCAGGGAGAGCCTTTTATGTTGCCAGGAACTAGCTGGAACCAAGGTGAAGAGAAAACTGTTAGGCACCCCCAGGAAGGGTCTCCCAGAGCAGGGTCTGGGTCCACATGTGGCTTGGCCACCTTTCCAGTATTGGAAAAAAGCCCTTGGTATGCAGTGCACTCCAGGCCCAGGGAGAAGGTAGGGGCCCTCCAGATGTCCTCATGGACTCCTCCGAGGCCAGGCGGGTGCCTGTGCAGCAGTACCACAGGCCCTCCCGCAAGGGCAGGCATGCTGCTCCCGGATTGTATTTGGACACACCCCCCCCCATGGAAAGACGGGAATGAAGTCACCTAGAAATTGGACTGCCATTGGTGCTTTTGATATGGGATCTGACACTTATGGATTTGTATCTTTCATTTACGCTCCGTCTCTGCCTCATGCAGAAGTGTAGACAGTCTTTGCACCATAAAGCCAAAGCAGCTTCTTGCTTAAGAGCAGCACAGCTTTTCTAGGATGCACCAGAAAGAGCACTTCCCCAGGTCCTCCTGGAGGCCCTGTCTGGTAGTGTCAGTGTGGGGTCATGGAGGCAGTCACCGGAGAGACTGGCCCTGTGGGAGGAAGGAGCCCCGAGAGAGCCGGCTGTTCCCGAGGGCCCTTCTCAGGTGCACAGGGTTGGGGATGTGTGTTTAACAGCTGGAGTGTGCGGTGCTGCATGGCTTTGGGCCTGTGACAGCCCTGGGTTGCCCCTCCTACCCCTGCTCCCTGCCTTCCTGTCCCTGAGAGCAGTAGGGCCTGTGACTTGGGGTGTCTCTCAGTGCACGGACGGTGCACACTCAGAGGCAGGGTGCTTGCTGTCCCTTGGGTCTTAGGAGTGGCAGTGCACTGCTGTGTCATGGGAAAGCCCCCAGCTAGGACAGAGCAGTGTGGCATGTGACTGGGCCTGCCTACTGTGGCATGGCCACTCATGGGCCCAGCACCTGCGTGAGGCTGGCTCCCGTGCACACGGCAGCTCCTCGCCTGAAGCACTTGGGAGAAGAGACTTGAGAGCATCTTAGGTGCATTAAGGGAAGTTCGGGCTGGGACTGGGATGTGAATCAGTCCTCCTCCTCTGACCTACTCAGGGGCCGGCTTTAAAGAGACACTCACCAGCTGCTTACGCTGAGTTCTACCTGGACCAGTGAATTTCAAAAAGGTTAGCAGTAGAGCCCTTTATTTTAAAAAAGTTACTTCATTTATTCGTTTACACACAGTTCCACGGTATAAACAGCAAGCAGAGCTGTTCTGGGTGAAGTTGAGGGGACAGCAGGTCCCCAGTCCCCCGGACTTTCCCACAAATGCCTGCTCTTACACCTCAGGCTGCACTCTCCAGGCCCGCAGGACTAGTGTGCTCCAATTTTGGGGTTCAGGGCTGAAACTGGTGCACTCATCTGTACCTGCGCTGGAGCCGGCCTAGAGTGCCGTGTCCTCTGAAGCCTGTACCTTTGTCAGCTCTATCATGTGAAGCTGGGAAACACACAGCTCTGCATCTGAGGTTGAGATTTGCGTAAAGGCCTGATGGCGACTAAGGAGCCCAGCCCATCCTAGCCAGTACTGGAATGCCATTCCTTTTCTCATCCAGAAATTAACTCTTTGGGAAAAGCCTCCAGGAATCAAGTGTCACTCCTATCAGGACACACAGATCCACACTCCCAGGGTCCCACAGGAAGAGGATTGGTTTTACATTTTGAAAATCTTAGTAGATATGCTGACATGTTCCCAAATCCCCATAACAGTAAATCCAACAAGGTTTCTCATCAGTGAGGGCCAAGAATTGGGTCGAGGGTAGCCGGTGCTGCCCAGGAGCAGGGGCTAGTCCCTGGCCTGGCTCTGCCGGAGGTGCCCCAGGAGCTCTGGTCCTCCTCACCGGAGGCTCAGGGTAGCAATCGCAAGGGAAGCAGAGGTGGGCAGGCCGCAGTCGGGGAGGGTGTAGGCAGGTGGGTTTCTAGTCCTCGGCGCAGCCGTCTTTCCCTGGCTGAGTCCGTCTCCCTGCTGCTTGTCTAAGAGCCCTCTCAGAATGTAGCTTCTTATGCTCATGGACTTGTTTTTTCTGATTTTTTCCTTCTCATCTAGATAACACCATTTCACAGGACACGGCTCTCCCTAGCATGCCCACTAACCTCTGAGGAGCCCTTCCCGCCCTCCCCTCCCCACCTCTGACCATGGCTGGCAGCCAGCACTGGCCGGGGCTAACTGTTTTCTCCTGCTCTCCACCAGAGTCTGAAGGAAGGCCTGACGGTGCAAGAACGCTTGAAGCTCTTTGAATCCAGGGACTTGAAGAAAGACTGACTGTGTCCCGTTCAGTTTGAACACACTCTTCCCAGCTTGTGGCTGCACAACCCAAATGCTACTTTCCATCTATACCTTTATTTTTATTGTTGTTGTCATTATTCACTGTGGGTATGGATGCATGAGAGACAGGTTCATGGGTTCACACCATTCCCCACTGTGTTGATCTGACTTCCTGTTGTCTCTACCCGAGCTTTCCCATTGCATTCTAAAATAAGCCAAGCAGTGGGGCTGACAGGGCTGTCTGCTACAGCTGGCTCTATGTTGGATTCCCTTCCCAGTCGTCCACCTCACTCACTCCCTGTCAGTATTAAGGCAGCCGATTGATAAGCTAGCTCTGTCTCACCGAGGGCACTGTGTGGGACCGGCCGGTGGCTGCAGCTCTGCTGCACACTGGGTCCCTTGGGGAGAGAACCAGCCACTGGAGTGTGGTTTTGCCTGGATCCCCCCACTGGCAGCTCACTAGCCTGCAGGAGGAGCTGGGGAACTGATCAAAGGCGTGGTTTACAGCCTTCACTAAACGCCACCTTTTAGTTTGAGAGACTTGTATTTGTTCCACTAACGCAGCTTCAAACCACACCCCAGATCATTGTGGTAAACTTTTCACAACCTTGAAAATGTCGAAACAGCCTTTCCTGTTTTGTTTGTTTTTTTATTAAATCTGGCACAAAACCCCACCCTCTCATTCCTTCCTACCTGAAGCACTTGGGAGAAGAGACTCGAGAACATCTTAGGTGCATTAAAGGACATTCGGGTTTGGAGTGGGATGTGGATCTGTCCATACCCTCTGACCTCAGTGGCAGCTCCTTTCTTGCACCAGTAACCCTGTCTTTCCATAACTACTTGGCTTGTTGACTTGGCCTGGGATTTCAGTGTGCTCCGGTTTTTGGGTTCCCTCAGGGAATTGCTCAAGGGGGTAGGTGATTCCTCTCTAACCTCAGAAGCTTCACTGCGCTTTAGGAAAGGTGAAGAGAAGACCCCTGTGTTAAGTCAAAAAGAAAGTGCAGAGGATGTCAAAATCAGACGAAAATTGCCCATTGTTTTCTGTTCTTAACTAACCTGAGATCTGAAGAGTTCCCCTTTAGCATTTAGAGAATCTAAAGTAACACTATACTGATAATTCTGCTTTTTAACAGGTGAGTAAGAGCTTTGGAGTTTCTGTTATGGCCGCATGAAAACTATTAATCCTGAGAGGAGAAGTCTAAACACACCAGGTTGGCACCAGCTCTGCTGCCTCAGAGCAAGGTGGAGGCACTCGAGTGGGGCGTTGGGGACTCACTCTGATCACGCTGCCTCTATCGGTCTGTTGATTTGACTGCCAATAGCATGCTTTTGCTTTGTGTTAATGCTTGAGTTAGTCTGATGGTCTCTGGTTATACAGATACTTTGGGGGTAAAAATGTAGAGATCATCTTGCTCAGTTTCTAGATTAAGTCAGTTAGCAAGGTTATCTGAAGAGTCCTGGGAAGGCCAGATGGAGGCCCTCGCATGCTGGCTGCTAGCTGGAGTGAGCCCCCTTCCGCTGGTGCGATCCTGTCCTGCTCACGCATTCCTTCTAAGAGGCTTAGCCACACCCGTCTATCCTTGCTACTATTCTTCCATGTTTTTAAAAGCAAGAGAATGTCAGCTCTGCTTTCTTAATTCTGCTTATCAGACGCCCCTGACACGTAGATTGACAGCGTTTTTATAAAGGACTGTGACTTTTTGTGTCACGCTCAGGATGGGAATTACAGAAGGAATATTTGGGACCCACGTGTCCTCTAGGGCAGAGTGATGCGGTACAGCCTGGCCTCTGCAGCTGTCTGGGCACCATGGCTTCTGTCATTCCTTCAGAATGTGTCGCACCCAGCACGGCTCCCTTTGTGGCTGCCACTGCTCAGCCTCCCAGAGGTTTCTGGCCAGGTCATGCATGGAGTCAAGCTGAAGACTGTGCTGCAAGGGTTTGAAACCTGCAGGGGTTTTGAATAGGTGAAAAGAGCATTCATTGTATTCACTTGTCCCTTGAGGTTAGATCTCAGGAGTCCTGGTGAACAAATGTGTTGAGTGCAGCATTTGGGGGTCCAGGGCAGAGATGGGGCAGACCTCTTATCACTGCAACCTCTGTAAAGGATCTTCCTGCTCACCCCACAAGCAACAGGACTCCCTCTCCTGGGGCTCGTTTGGTCTGGGGTCACCAGGAAATGGACTGTGAATGCTAAGCTGGCCAAGAAATGGGGCACTCTGGCCCCTCTAACAAAAGGCTGGTCCTGCTGCAGCCTCCCTCCCACAGTGTGCCGAGCCTGCGTCTGCCCTGCTGAGTCATTCCACACTGACAGCTGCCAGGCTCTAAGCCAGGCCTGAGCTTCCTCCTGCTCAGTCCTGTTCTCCAGCTAGAGTGAGCAAGCAGCACAGGACAAAGCGGGTCTCACGGCCTGCCTGTCCCGCTGCAGTGTGTCCTCCAGGCGCCTGCGAGCACCAAAACCCCAAAACCCTAGCCACCGAGGAAAGAGGAACACTGGAGGCTGAGTCGCTTCTGTGTGTTACACAAAGGCCCTCAGGGCTGAGCCGCCACAGAGGCTGTGGAGGGGTAACAGGGTTGTGAGCCGGTGCTCCGTGCTTACTGCCCCAGCACAAACCAAGCAGTGGTGGGAGCCAGCCTCCGCCTTCCAGGAAGGGAAGTGTTACCAGGGACCCGCTCTTCACAGTTGTAATTACTCTCCTGTACATGTTCACTACTCACTTGTACTCTGCTAGCATGTGTGAATCAGCTGTGGCCAGTGTACTAATGGGAAAACTGGACAGTGACTGTGTGACAGTTTGTGGACGTTGGCATTGATCACGGTGAGCTGCGCGTGCACATGCGGCCAGTGGTGCTCCAGGTCCACTAGCATGCCAGCCCCCGAGCAGACGGGGAAGCTGACCCAGGTGACTGGCTCTCTGCAGCCTCTGGCAGAGGTGTGGCCGTGGATGGGACGAAGGCGGTAGACAGGGCACTTCGCCACTGGAAATGGAAGCTTGTGCAAGAAGGCGTCAAAATGAGTCTGAATTTGTGGGAGGAAGTGATGGCCGTCCTGGAGTGAATGGTGGAGGCCATGATGGGAACGCTGGGCTTGTCAGGAGCTAAGATCAGAGGCCCCTCCCCAGGAGTCCAGCAAGTGGAAAGGCAGAGCGCGGGCCAGGCCCCACGCGCCGGCTGGTTAAGTGGAAGCTGCCTTGCCCTGGTGTCCAGATCCAGCCACGTGTTCCCTGACTGAGCAACTGGGCCCTGGGGTCCTGGCACAGGCCACACACAGGAAGAGAGGGAACTGCAGCTTTTAAACAGTTGTGGCTCGGGAGTCGGCCTGAAAGGAATTCTGACAGATAAAGCCAGGAAACAGAATGGGCCTAAACATGTTCTATAGAGATGCCTTTATAATGCCATTTGTTTCACCACAGAGTAGATGGAACGCTAACTGCTTTTTATCACTGCTGCCTGAGGATCCCTCTAGCAAGTCTGTTTTTAAACTCATCCTACAGGTGAAGCAGCCCAGTGCCAGCCCCACCCTTGCAGGGCCTGGAGGCTGGGTGCCAGCTCTGCCACCTCTCCAGCTGTAAAACGACAAGGGTTGCTGCTGTCCCTGCCAGCGTTAGCCAATAAGACTAGGGGGAGGCAGATGTGTCCTCGACAGGGAGGAGCTGGCAGGCAGTGGGCTCTCAGGAAAGGTTTCTTCTCCCCCACACTTGAAACACCCCCCAGTTCCTGAGGCCCAGGGCTGGATGAGCAGTTCACAGCAGGGCCTGTGGCCTGACGTCAGGGTGAGGGATGGGGGAGGCTTCACTCCCTGCCCGCTGGTGCGTGCACAAGGTCTTCATGGCCAACCACACTGCACTCCTCCCCGGCTCGTTCATCGGCTTGTCCGGGGCTAAGACAGTTCTCCGGGGATTCAGAGCTGCTGTTGGGTAGAGAGGGGTGCAGCCGCCAGCATTTCTTGTTCCCGAAAATAGAAGTTTACCCCTCGTTGCCCTAAGGAGGCTTGGAATTTAACATTCTCCTGTAAAGACACAATTTCAAAAACAGTTCAGACACCCCGTCACCAAAAAAGGAGGGGATTTATGTATTTTCAAAGTTCTACAAAGGAGAGGGAAGTATACAGTATTATACTTCAGAGGAATTAAATTCTAAAGGAGAAAGATTGGCACATTAATTGGAAGCTTCGCTTCTGAGAGAAGGTGTGTCATCTGGAGTGTCTCCCACCCTGAACCCTGGCAGCTCAGCCCCTGCAGTGCTTATGATAAGCAGGAATTTGCTTTATAAATAAACCACCTGCTTGCCCAGCATTTCCTCCGCTCTGTTAGGGCGAGCGAGCATCCCCAGTGCCCTGGTGCAGTGGCTGGCACTGGGCCTCCCTGGAAGACGGGAAGAGAGCTGCTAAGAACTTAGTCACTAGAGCTCTTCAAGGCCCTTGCACCCGTTCTTCCGCCTCGCCATGGGCCTCTGCCCTCTGTCACCCGCAGAAAGAGTGGCTACCAGGCTGGTCTGCTGGGGCGTCTCAGTCCGTGCACATGAGGCCCGCCATCGGTTTCCTCCAGCGTCATGCTCTGTTAACTAGCGTGCAAGCTCCTCTCCCTTGGCTTTTCCATGGCACCAAATCCCTAAAAGGTCTGAGCTCAGTCAGGTGTTATCAGAATTCTGATTGTAGGAAAGGTCTTTTTATTCCCCTGAGATCAGGCCTAAAGATCAGGTCCTTCACTTTTCTCAGCATCGAGTAGCAGGACACGGGGGCTTCTCCGCAGCAGGCCAAGTGTACGCGTGCTCGCTGCTCTGGGGAGGCGTGAGTGGTGTACAGTGGGCAGTGCTGGGTGGTCTTACATGTGCAGACGCTTGAGGCAGCGTCACACCTCCCACACTAAGTTGAAACTTAAATACGGACCGGCCTGAAGGGGGTCTGAGAAGGGTTCCTTATAGGAAACTTGCCATAAGCCCACCGTGGGAATACACACTCAGTTTCTCTCGAGTTCTGTCTGCTGGAAAAGACCCAGCCTCTTTTCCCTTTTGAGAACAATCTGTTTCAAGTATTCTTGCTTCTCTATAAAGGGCAGAGGCCTACCTTCTCTGAAATCTTTCAACACAAGACTCACAAAGTAGGAGGAATAGCTCAGCACTAGATCACCTGCGTGTGGAACAAGTGACTAGCTGCTTAAACCCACCTTGAGCCCCTTTCCTCTAGGTTCACACAGGACGGTGGCGACAGGCTGCAGCACACTCAGTGTGGCTCCCAGTTTCCCTGGATTTAAAAGCATTTGTCTTTATCTTCACAGCAACCTGTATGTAATTCAGAGCAAGCAGTGTAAATATTACTTGTTACTGTAGGGACTTTTGTGACAGTGTGATGTTCTTTAATTACGTACAGACACCCTTTTTAAGATGGGGAGAACAGCTTTCGTGTAGCGTCGAGCCCACCCGACAGTAAAAGGAAAAGCTCTGAGACAGTTTTGACATCAGGGCCGACACACTGGGTAGGGTACGTGCAGAGTCCAGTGAGTGTCCAGGTTTCCCCAGCTCCTGGGTTGTGTTGTGCAATAGCACAAAGGCTGCAGACTCGTGCTGTTACTTTATAATATACATCTATGTCAAATAGGAGGAAACGCTTAGTCACAAAATACTTAAGAATTGGATGGTCCGATACAGGAGGACATTGAAGTCTCAGGTTGCAGCGTTGTTGGGGGGCCTCCAAGGTGGAGTTTGCGCACCGTGAAGGAAATGACAGGCGCGGCCAGCCCCCCTGCTGTCCTCACGTTCCCACATCCTTTGCTCTTTTCCCCCTTTACAACTAGTTATATCACATATTTCTGTTTTATTTTATAGAAAGCTAGGAGTAGATTAAGAAGAACACTAAATTATTGTGTTATGTTTATATCACAAAACTTCAATTAAAATGGATTTTAGGATTTACATTTAGTACTTACAACATATCTACTGACTTATTGTTAGGATTCAAAACCAGTTGAGTGATAAGAATCAATTCATACAGTTTTTCTAAGTAATATTTATAAAATGTAAGGTTTCTAAGTGGTTTCTCAACAGTTATAATTAGTAATTTTTCTATCAGGGTGACTGTCTCAATTCAGCTACTAAAGACAAAAACATACTCTGCCAAGCATGTTATACTGGGTGAGCTGATACACATGATTGTTCTGCTGTGAGGAGTTAGGAAATAAATCACAGCAGTCACATCTGCCACCGCTAATTATTTTAAGTTAGGTGATACATGTTAAAGAACAAACTTGTATAACTTAACTGGTGTTTAATTTCTGAACTGATGTACTAAATGATAATGTTCACCAGACAGAAAGTCTCATGCAGAAGAAAGCAGAGGCCTGAGGGGCCTAGGTGACTACTTAGCACACAGCAGGCTCCCCGAGAGGCCTCCAGGTGGAGGCAGCTCCAGAGCAGAGGCCCCAGAATGGGCGGAAGAGAAGAGCCTGGTCAGTGATGCCACTCTCTGTTTTGACAATTCAAGAATTTTATGGTTTAGTTTGAGGCTTTTTTTTAAGTTTCTGATCAACTGTTCACTAAAACTGAAGTATTACTTTGTCAAAATATTTATTCCTTTGTGTGACATGCTAGATTCCTATGGATATAGCTGATCATTTCTATTTTGTAAATACTACCTAACTTTACATAAACTATATCATAATAAACTATTTTTGCATCACCCTTTGCATGCTGTGAATGAGGTTTTGTTTAATGGACAGACATATGCAAAATATGCACTTAGGTCAAAAGTCAGAAACTGGTCAGTTGCTTAGAGATTTATAATGAAGCCTTTGTTTTTACTTTTATTACCTGCTTTTTTACAGTGTTTTTAAAGTTTGGGATTAGTTGTCAGCATTTAAAAATCAGATTTCATATAAAAATCCAGTTTCACATGTTCACATGCAATACAGTGTAAGAAAAATTTATATCCAGAATCGAAGGCATATTAGCTTAGTTATAGCCAAAGGATGAGAAATACTACCCTACCCCATGCCTGCCCCTTTATTGTAAATAAGCCTATTAATAAAGTTTCACTTTTTGCTTTAAAAAATGCATCTTACCTCATGACCCAACACACACACAACAAGGACCTGAAATTTCACAAAATAATACTCCGGTATATGCTCCTATAGAATGTGTCTATTCTGTTTCATTCTTTAAAATTCTAATAGTAACCCACTAAATTTAAATACTTTTTTTTCAATATTGCCACAACCTTTGGAATGAGATACGTAAAAACGAGGGAATCCAAACATATTCAGATAAACAAAAAATTAAAGTCTGACTACCCGTTAGAAGTCAACTTATGGAATTGGTAATACTTAGTAGAAACAAAATTGAGTACAGACATATAAAGGATACATATTTTCAGTGTGCTATTCCAGTTGTTTAAGGATGTTTCAATAATTTTCTACCCATTAAAAAATTAGTCAAATGTACACACAGTTTTTGGACAGGGTTTAATATATTCTAATAGCTTAAACACTATTTTTTTTAAAGCTATGTAAACGTGCAATTTGAAAAGGCAGTTGGCCTTTGGTAAATCCAACACCCTTTCATGATGAAAACACTCAACAAAAATTAGGAGCAGAAGGGAGCATTTCAGTACAAAAAGCCAGCTATGAAAGCCCACAGCTAACATACTCAATGGTGAAAGACTGAAAGCTTTCCCCTGAGATAGGAACAAGACAAGGATGTCCTCACTGTATCTATTCAACACTGTACTAAAGATTCTCACCAGAACAGTTGGGCAAGAAAACAGGCATCCATATGGAAAGGAATAAGTAAAACTGTGCCGATGACATGATCTTATATATCGGAAATCTTAAGGAATCCACCAAAAAAATCTTAAATGAGTTCAAGTTTGCAGGATACAAGCTCTATACACAAAAATCAATTTATTTCTATACACTAGTAATGAACTATCAAAATGAAGTTAACATGATTCCATTTGTGATATCAAAAAGATTTTTTAAAACAATGTAAGACTTGTACACTGAAAACTACAAAACGTTAAAGATTTAAATAAATGGAAAGGCACCCCATGTTCATGGATTGGAAGACAAAATTATTAGAATAGCAGTACTCCCTAACTCAATCTACAGGTTCAACACAATCCCTGTCAAAGCCCCAGCTACTTTTGCAGAAGTTGATCAGCTGATCCTGAGTCATATGGAAATATAAGGAGACCCAGAATAGCCAAACAATGGAAAAGAACAAAGAGGACTCATGCTACTGGGTTTCAAAACTTAATACAATATTTCAGTAATCAAGACAGTGGCTATAGATTGGGATATAAATCAATAGGACAGAATTGAGAATCTAGAAATAAGCCCTTACAGTTATGATTATTTTCAACAAGGGTGCTAAGACCCTTCAGTGGAGAAAGAATTTTTTCAACAAATGGTACTGGGACCACTAGCTATGCATATGCAAGAGAATCAATTTGGGCCCCCTAACTCACACTATACACAAAAATTAACTCAGAATTGATCTAAATAGCCCGGCCAGGCGTGGCTCAACGGTTGAGCATCGACCTAGGATCCAGGCGATCAGGGTTCGATTCCCGGTCAGGGCACATGCCCGGGTTGCGGGCTGCAGCTGATCAATGACTCTCTCATCATTGATGTTCCTATCTCTCTCTCTCACTCTCTCTCTCCCTTCCTCTTTCTGAAATCAGTAAAGATATATTTAAAAAAAAAAAAAGAATTGATCTAAATATAAGAGCTAACAGTGTAAGACTTGTAAGGAAAAAAATAGCAAATCTTTGTGACCTTGGGTTGGGCAATAGTTTCTTAGATACGGCACCAAAGCACAAGCAGCAAAAGTAAACACAAACTGAATTATATCAAAGTTAACATGTTGGAGGGATCACAATACTGATATCAAAGTATATCAAACTATACTACAAAGCTACTGTAATCAAAACAGCCTATTACTGGCACAAGAACGCATATAGATCAATGGAACAGAACAGAGCCCAAAGTCAACACATGCCTTTATGATCAATATTTGACAAAGAAGGCAAAAGCACACAATGAAGTTAAAAACAGTCTCTTCAATAAATGGGGCTGGGAAAATTGGACAGGTACATGCAAAAAAATGCAACTAGACCACCAACTTACACTATACACAAGAATAAACTCAAAATGGATAAAAGACTTAAATGTAAGACATGAAACCATAAAAATCCTAGGAGAAGACGTACACAGCAAAACCTCAGACATCTCAGAATATTTTTGTGAATATGTGTGAAGGCAATGGAAATACAGAGGAAAATAAGCAAATGGGACTACATCAAACTAAAAACCTGTGCAGCAGGAAATTAAACATGGCGGCAGACTGAGTGGAAGCTACACTGACTCTCCCAGGACCAAACTGGAATTATAGCTAAAATAGAGAAACACAAGCCTGAATAATCAACTGCAACTGAAGACGAGCTGGAGAGCAGCCTCATAACCAAAAAGAAAAAGTGAAGACAGCATAGAGACTGGTATGAAGTGGGGAGGCGCGAGAGGGCTGGCTGGGCTCCCACAGGCAGCAGCTGAAGGTTCAGAGGGAGATCTCAGCCGTGGGGGGTTCCCATTGAGAACTCTGGGGCCTAAACTCCAAGCTGGGCTCCCCAGCCCAGAGCACCAGAACTGAGAAAGGTGCCCACATAACATCTGGCTGTGAAAAGCAGCAGGGTTTCTGTCTGCCAGGGAAAGATGGCTGGAAATGCAGGCCCCCCTCTTAAAGGGCCAATGCACAGAGTTTCATGTGCAGCCACTCACCTTGGGCTCCAGCAGAGGGAGGGCAGAGTGGACTGGAGCTGTGTGAGGGGAATCTGAGGTTGTGGGCTCTGGATATTGAGATCAGAAGGCACCAGTCTGGATTCCTGTACAGAGTCATTCCCCCATACTGCAGAGGCAAACATTTACCTTCCAAACAGCTTTTGCCTGAGGGGAAAGCAATTGCCCCAAACTGCTGGAAAAACCTCTCACCCTTTCCCATGGAATTTCTAAAGCCTGAGGCTCATTAAGAGACATAACAAGCAGCTGTCCCACCCTGTGGAATTTCTACAGCCTAAGACTCATTAAGAGAATCAGATTAATTAGCCTGCAGGCATAGGTAGCCTTCAGAGTGCTTTGAGCCTTTTCCTGATCTGCTTCTGGAACCAGGCCTTGGGAAAGCAGACTTTGGTGTGCATCTTGGTACAGTCCAAATGCACCCAGCACCAACAGAGGGGACCTCAAGCTGTGGGTTGTTGATAGCTCCAAACAGGGCACTCGAGGCCACTCACAAACAGTGTCTGACATTGGCCAGCACCAGAGACCATCCAAAAAGACTGAGAGTCCTAGCAGGCCTACCTAATACATAGAAAGAAATCCAAATAGGCAGCCAAAATGGGAAACAAAAAAGAAGACCCAAATGAAAGGACAAGATAAGTCTCCAGAAAAAGAGCTAAATGAAATGAAGATAAGCAATCTATCAGATAGAGTTCAGAATATTGATTGTAAGGATGCTCAACAGCATGAAAAAAAGATAAGGAAACTATGAAGGAAATGAAGAATGACATAGCAGAAATAAAGGATACATTGGAAGGAATAAACAGCAGATTAGAGGAAGCTGAGAATTGGATTAGTGAATTAGAAGACAGGCTAGAAAAAATCACTCAATCAGAGACCCAAAAAGAAAAACCAATTAAAAAACAGGACAGTCTAAGGGAGCTGTGGGACATGAAACATAACAATATTCAAACCATAGGAGTACCAGAGGAGGTCAAAAGTAAGCAAGGGTTAGAGAACCTCTTTGAAAAAATAACAGAAAAAGGACCAGTCAGAAATGAAGAATGACATAGCAGAAATAAAGAATACATGGGAAGGAATAAACACGTTAGAGGAAGCTGAGGATTGGATTAGTGAATTAGAAAGACTAGGTAGAAAAAATCACTTAATCAGAGACCCAAAAAGAAAAAAATAGGAGGACAGTCTAAGGGAGCTGTGGGACAACATGAAACAATATTCACATCATAGGAGTGCCAGAAGATCTAGAAAGTAAGCAAAGGTTAGAGAACCTGTTTGAAGTAATAATGGCAGAAAACTTCCCTAACATAGGAAAGGAAAAAGTCGCACAAGTTCACAAGGCAGAGAGTCCCAAGCAAGAAGAATCCAAAGAGGCCCACACCCAGACACATCATAATTAACATGCCACAAATTCAAGACAAAGAATATTAAAGGCAGCAAGAGAAAAGCAATCTGTTACCTACAAAGGAGCTCCCATAAGGCTGTCAGCTGATGTCTCATCAGAAACTCTACAGGCCAGAAGGGAATGGCATGAAGTGTTCAAGGTAATGAAAAGCAAGGATCTGAAACCAAGACTACTCTACCCAGCAAGGCTATCATTCAAAATAGATGGTGAAATAAAGAGCTTCCCAGATGTCCCCCCCACCAAAAAGGGTAAAGGAGTTTATCACCACCAAGCCAGCATTGCAGTAATTGTTAAAGGGACTGCTGTAATTAGAAGTAGAAATAGAGCAACATAGGCATAAAGAATTAAAATGGCAATGAATAAGTTCCTATCAATGATAACCTTAAATATAAATGAATTAAATGCTCCAACCAAAAAACAGCTGAATGGATAAGAAAACATGACCCTAATACATGTTATCTACAAGAGACCCACCTCAGAACAAAAGACTC